AAAGCATGTGGAAATTGATCGACACTTCAAAGAAAAAGTTACAACTGGTGTCTTGAGTTTGCTTCATGTGCCATCGGAAAAACAGCTAGCTGATGTGGTTACCAAAGGTCTCAACAAGCGAACTTTCCATACTTCGAGCTGCAAGTTGGGCATGTGCGACATCTTTGCACCAACTTGAGAGGGAGTGTTGATTAGCATGATTCAAGGAGACTTGATTTAGGAGTGTTGATTAGCATGATTTCAGGAGATTTGAGTATATTTAGGAGATCTGATTTTATTATGATTTTATTTGATAGCTGGATTGATTGTATAGATTTATTATTTTCCTTAATTAGCATTAGGAGCTTTGTATAAATTCCCTTGCTCATGGGGTGTAAACATACACATAAATACAAGAAGCCTTTTCTTCTTTTCAAAATCACCCCCCACGCGCAAGAGCAACGACAGAAGATGTGTCTGGTTTTTAAACTTGTTGGGCTGCCTAAAGACCTTGACTCGGTGAGAGACCAAATTTTGGCTAGTCGTTCCGTCCATACAGTTGATGAACTATTCTCTTGATTGCTTCGTCTTGCTGCGCCACCCAGTCACACAGTGATTTCACCACCAATTGTTCATTCCTCTATTCTCGCATCTTAGATAATGGAGAATCGACGAGGAAGAGGTTGTTTTGGGAGATCTCGACCCAAGTGTTCTTATTGTAATAAACTTGGACACACTCGTGAAGTGTGCTATTATTTACATGGTCGACCACCCAAAAACGCTCATGTTGCTCAGAACGAGACTACAGGTAATCAGGGATTTTCTTTATCTGAAGGGGGATATAATGAGTTCTTCAGTATTGAGCAAGTAAGCAGACATCTCCACAAGTAGCCTCGATTGCTCAAAGTGATACTCAAGTTGCTGGTAAATTTTTTGCTTGTGTTTCTCAGTCTAGTACTCTTGGACTGTGGGTCGTGGACTAAGGAGCTTCTGATCATCTTAATATATTTATAGTCCTACCTGTACCTACTTGTGAGGAATCCACATTCACAGCACCGCCACAACCACTACTACCTATATAGACTTTTAAGGAGTCTACAGTTGTCCTCCTACATGCCTAGCGACAAGGCCACCACTCTTGACTTATCGTCGTCGTCCACGTCCAGCAACAGGCCTAGATGATTTATGTCCTCAGCAGATTCTGCACCTATTACGGACTTTTCTCCTCTTAGTCCACCAATTGCAATACGAAAAGGTATCCACACTTAATCCTAATCCCCATTATGTCAGTTTAAGTTATTATCACCTGCCATCACCTCATTATGCGTTGTTTCCATCCCTAAGTCTACAGGTGAGGCACTATCTCATCTAGGATGGCGACAGGCTACGGTAGACGAGATGTCTGCTTTACATGCGAGTGGCGCTTAGGGGCTTGTTTCTATTCCTTCGGATAAGTCTAATAATGGTTGTCGCTGGGTTTATGCAGTCAAAGCTGGCCCGGATGGCCAGGTTGATCGGCTTAAGACTCGTCTTGTTGCAAAAGAATACACTCAGATATTTGGGCTTGATTATAGTGGCTCTTTCTCTCCCGTGGCTAAAGTAGCACATGTTCGCCTCTTTTTGTCCATGGTTGTTGTTCGTTATTGGCTTTTTTGTTAGTTAGACATTAAGAAAGTTTTTCTCCATGGTGATCTTGAGGAAGAAGTTTATATGGAGCAACCACATGGTTTTGTTGCTCAGGGGGAGTGGTCTTGTATGTTGATTGCGCAGGTCACTCTATGGTTTGAAACAGTCTTCTCGAACTTGGTTTGGTAAGTTCACACAATTATTCAGGAGTTTGGCAAGACTCGTAGTGAAGCTGATCACTCCGTGTTTTATCGGCATTCTGCTCCTAAGCTTTGTATTTATCTAGTAGCTTATGTTGATGATATCGCTATTACTAGCAATGATCATGGTAGTAATACTAATCTGAAGCAGCATCTCTTTTAGCACTTTCAGACTAAGGATCCGGGCAGATTGAAGCATTTTCTAGGTATTGAGGTCGTTTAGCCTTGCTCAAGTATTGTTATTTCACAGCGGAAGTATGCCTTAAACATTCTTGAGGAGACAGGAATGATGGGCTGCAGGCCTGTTGACACTCCTATGAATCCGAATGCGAAGCTTCTGCCAGGACAGGGGGAGCCTCTTAGCGATCCTGCGAGATATAGGAGGTTGGTTGGCAAGTTAAATTACCTTATAGTGACTAGACCTGACATTTCTTTTCTTGTGAGTGTTGTAAGTCAGTTTATGGATTCTCCCTGTGATAGTCACTGGGATGCAGTTGTTCGCATTCTTCGATATATAAAGTTAGCTCCAGGCAAAGGATTACTATTCGAGGATCGAGGCCACGAGCAGATTGTTGGGTACACAGATGCTAACCGGGCAAGATCACCTTCTGAGAGGCGTTCTATGTCTGAATATTGTTTTCTAGTAGGAGGTAATTTGGTCTCTTGGAAGAGCAAGAAACAGAATGTAGTTGCTCGATCTAGCACAAAAGCAGAATATCGGGTCATGGCTATGGCAACATGTGAGTTAGTTTGGGTCAAGCAGTTGCTTAAGGAGTTGAAGTTCGGAGAAATCAGCAAGATGGAACTGGTGTGTGATAATCAAGTTGCTTTTTATATTGCGTCAAATCCGGTGTTCCATGAGAGGACTAAACACATTGAGATCGATTGTCACTTTGTCAGAGAAAAGATACTCTCAAGAGATATTGTTACAAAGTTTGTGAAGTCAAATGATCAGCTTGCAGATATTTTCACCAAGTCTGTTACTGGTTCTCCTATTAGTTACATCTATAATAAGCTCGGTGCATATGACTTATATGCACCGGCTTGAGGAGTGTTAAATAGTTAGTAATGTATAGTGTTCCATATCGGAAAGTAGATACATATTATTATGTAATCACTGTATATAAATAGGGCATTATACAATACTTTAGACATAATTAATAAAACTTTTTCGTGCTACACTTCTCACATAAACACAAACCGAGTCAACCAAATAAGGCGCTAAATATAGAGCAAATCTGTATGCATCTAAAAGCTTCTCAAATATTCAACAAGATACCATCAGCTATCGAATAAGGAATTGTCCTTAGAATTTCCAAGTTGGCAATCGTCAGGCCATGAATACTACAACCGACTAGCCAATCTATCTAAAACTAGAATAGCTCCATCTACATTTACAACTATCCCAAATGAATTAATCATGTTAATTTTCATCCAGAAAAACACTTAAAAACTTAAAGCAAGTATCAAATTTGTGAAAGAATTATCAAAAAATGGGAACACTAACTAGGGAATCCAGGAGCTAAAGATAGCACGATTATATCTCCTTTGACTGCTTGGTTAGAGCACCATTCATTACAATTAATAGAGTTAGTAAGGTTCAAATTCAGTAAATTTATCAGGTTTAATAGGAGTTAGTAAGGTTCAACCAAAATAGGAGTTAGTAAGGTTCAACCAATAAATTACGGGAAGTAATCACATGAAGTTCTATAAAGAACCATTGAACTAGGTAAGGAGAGACTCCACTCAATCAACTAGAGAGGACTAGGTAACTAGAGACTCCACTCAATCAACTAAAGAATCAGAAATGGCCAGTGCATGTGGTAACATTTATCTCACCCATAGCCAACCACGTAAAACAGGCATCAGACATAGGCCACTATAGAACATATCAGCTACGCCAGCCCAACCTCCATAGACTACCACCAAACCCACATCTATAATCCAAAATATCAAAATCAAAACCAAGACCATCCCTGCATTTTACCGACAATACCCAACTTATACCAAATTTTAGGACACCAAAGCACTTTGAACACAAGATGTAAAATGGTAACCAATTAGTCCGAACATAACAAGCGAAAAAATCAAATTTAAAGTAAGAACTGCCCCAAATGCATTAGTTACCCGCTACACCATAATTCTCCATATGTTCTGAATAACAACATAGTAGCATTTTGCCTTTACTTATCAAAGAAAAAAACAACAACACAGTAGCATTTTAGAATCAGAATCCCGCAACCTTTTCCAAACTTACCAACACTAGCAAATAAGACTAAAAGAAACTCCGAGAGAGCATAAGACCTAAAGCAAATGTACTAAGAAGACTAAAACATATTTCCAACTAATTGGTATTGCCTAAAAAGATCTTTTTCTTCCATTGTACCCTATCTTTCGCTAAATCTACAGGATTCTCCAAGATTGTAGGTCTTCCAAGACAACTTCCTTCCATGTGATTTTAGGTCTACCTTATCTCCTCTTAACACCGCCACTCACTATGGTCTCCGCACTAGTCACTAGAAATCATATCCTAATATTCCAAACTGCCCAAGTCTTACTGGAAAAAGCAATTAAATGTCAAAAGTAATTGATAAAAAAGCAATCAAATTTGCCACCCTTCTGCACTCCTCCATAACAGTTCCATCACTTCTTTTCTTTTTTGTTATCTTTTGATATCTCCACTTGTGGGATTACCCTGGGTCTGTTGTTGTTGTTGTTGTTATCTTTTGATAAGCAATAGGTCCATGGCTAATTTAACCAAAGCTCAGGTTGGCAGACGTATCAAGTTGGTATATACAATAAGCTTCAGTAATCAAGCACTACAGTGATGTTCTAAAATTTCTTCTTTTTTTTCTTTTTGATATCATAGGGACCAAAACCATTTAGTCAAAAATAATTGAAGCACATTAGAACGCTACTATCCTTCTTCGACTAAAGACTGGCAGAAAACAAAGTCGTATATGAATTTTCTATCATAGATAGAACATATATTATTGTTGATGTTAAGCAGACTAAGAGGACTGCTGAAAATTGATGTTAAAATGTTCTTTCAGTCTGGAAGATGTGTCACCTGCTCCTTCATTCTCAAGCAAACAGATTCCCTATTAACATTTCTTTTTTTCTATTCACATTTTTATCAGTAAGCCTCTACACAGTATTTTAACATGTTTCTAATAAGACATCACATATACATACCTCTCCATGCAATGGTTCCCCAAGCACACTAGGATATGTAATTGGTGAATATCTCATATTAGTAACTGCTTCACCGGACGAATTTGCAGTGGCTTGAGGCAGAAGTCGAGGGGTCCCAAATGTAGGGCAGTGAAGGTGTTGATCCAACATTTGCATATGCATAGCCATCATATCTCGCCTCCGATGGATCTCCAAAATAAGTGTGAACAGAGCTTCGTCATCTGGGATGTTTTCTAAAAACTGCAACCCACTCCGGAGAAGTTCATAAAACGGTATGCGGCATTTATCATTCTCTACAAGCAACCAAATAACATCTAAACAGCTGTGTAGCCACTCAATTAGGGCCTTATCTGGTTTCCAATATTTCGCACTATCAAATTCATCAACACCATGTAACTTTTGGTCCCAATAAATCAACCAGTTCAACATATGGTGGAAAACTTCGGCATGTGTTCCCGGCTTAAGACTAGAATCTAGACCAGTTAAAATAATTTTGCAACATGTCTGTCGCAGACTGCTTGCAGCACTATCCCTTGTCAACAAATTCACTTTTGCAATGGACTGTTGGCTAGTGCCATTAACATCAGAAGACTTCATGGGAGACAAAGCAGCAGAAGATGATGGTTCAGCTGCTGACTGAACAGGGGACCCAACATCATGGACAGTGGGCAAAGGAGATGCAGGATTTGATGAATGAAAATTAGAGGTACTCGCTACTGCGGTGGAAGATGGCAGCAATCCAGACTGTGTTAAATTAGCAGAAGAGACTGCACCAGATGGCTGATTGCCCTGACTTGCGGATATCTCCGTAGATGAAACTGAGGAAAGAAGAGAAGGCAAGAAGGTATCCCAGTTTATGTATCCTATACTAGACAAACTGCATATGGCGAAGAGAAGAAATTCTGCATGAGGTGCGTGACTGCTGCACTGAATAACCAGAGAAATAAGAACAGATTCTGCCACTGCACGCAGTTGTTCCTGGTCCTGGGATAACATGTAAGACACAAGAACAAGTATGTATTATTAGATTTTATCAGATGTAACACATAGAAGATAAAAGACGTAAGGATCTAACGGAGCAATTATTTTCCAAGTGAAAAAACTTACAGCAAATTGGCTCTGCAGCTGTCCAAAATCTAAGACAAATTGCTCATTTCGTGGAGGAAGCTCTCTGTTAAGAGCAGTTACTCGCTTCTGTGTCTTGTTCCTGTATATCTCTTGCATAAGCAATCAATCATAAGACTTCCTTTCTTTTTTTAATCAGTGCAATCAATTATAAGACTTTTGGCATCATAGAGCAGATATGCACAGGTTTGGAAGTTGAAAAGAGAAGAGAAGCATAATTAAAGATCACATTATGCCAGTTACCAAGTGCGACAAAACATAACTTCATAAGCCTATAGTCATCACATTTTTTTCACAAAATTAAAAAGAATCCTGTCTTTTCATGCTTAAAAGAAACTTCAAGTTCCACACATATGATTGCTTAATGTCAGATCCAATGAGATGAAACATGAGCAAATCTTCTAAGCACTTGACTCCTTGTGTGCGAAGACTGCTGCTTCTTTCACTTTTGGAGCAACATTCTAATCTCACCTGCTGATTCTACTAGATTTATAGATTTAAGTATCTGTACTTGCTTCTAAGATTAAACATCTGAAATAAAAATAATGATGTGTACTCTTGCCATGAAAACAGAATGGTTGATGAATTAGGTAAGTATGGGATTCAGTTCCCACCCCCACACACCCCCCCCCGACCCAACCAACTAACCCAAACGAAAGAAACGGTAAAGTACGTTA